TCATTTGTCAGTCTCTTGTGATGTCGTAACTTCACTAACTCTCCAGTGGTTTAAGTGTAGCCAAGACCTTAAGGTAAAAATCAAACAATATTTGACACAACTTTCAGGTCTTTATTCTCACCCATAAAGAGGTAAAATGTCAGTTCCCACCATCATTTTGAAGCTCATCTAAAAAGCTTATTTGCAGATTTAAATATCTTAGTAAATCACTGTTTCCTAATTATGATGTCCCGAAGCAGTGTGGATCACGTGGAGAGTGAAATTAGATTTGAGTGGCTATGGGATCGTAAGATCAGATCAAATCTGTCATGAAAAAGTAGGTAACTTAAGCCAGGTCTGTTAAACCTGGAAGGTTAACTTCAGGTTCTCAACTCTAGCTACATAATTAATGTAACTGGAGTTGACATACCTTAAGTGAAGCTTGGCTCCATCTTCACACACATGCCCTTGCTGGCTTCCCTTACTCCTCAACTGCAAGGAGTAATGGTGGCTCAGCATTTGATTTAGTGTGTCTTTACTAGACCCGCTAAATCGAATGACAGAAGATAGATTTCTGGTACGTAAGTATAGACATGGCTTTATTGTCTGGACTGCTAAGGAATCAGTTGCCTAGTATATAATCTATTAAGCACATTTCCTGTAAAATCCTATGAAATATTAAATTTTATTTAAAATTATTTACATATGAACTTTAGAGTTTGTAGTCGTTTTACATAAATTGTTTGGTAGTGGAGCACCTAGTGTGTTAGTGTTTATTGATCAAGATTGGGACCCCATTGCAGTAGTATGCTGATAGACATGACCCTAGACTCTGAGTTTATAGTCTAATGATGTAAGATTATTAAAAGTTTAGCAATAGTATGTAATAGAATTATAGTGCCTTTCACCTGATAATCAGAAACCTTAACGTGTGTCTACTGTAGATTACTATGATCAGCATTGATTTTTATATCATTGCTGTAATCTCAGCCAAGCAGGTATTGATTACTTAACAAATGGATAAAGAAAGGGTCATGAGAGAGCCATCTGCTTTGTGCTTTGCTATTTCATTTATTAGTTTTTGAATGATGAGTTTAAAAAGAAAAAGATGTCTCTCAGAACAAAAGGAGACAGTCTCTTCTTGTTTTGCAAATTAAATTCTGCATGACTGGCAAGTGTGAAGTGTAATCAAGGGGAGAGTTGAAAGAACGGTGACAAGATTGTGTGATTTCTCTCTTCCCTCCCCCAATTTCTTTCCCCTTGCTTTTATTAGACAAAATGGCACAACTGAATATTTAGAAGAGCTTGAATGAAGCGAGGGAGGTGGTTTGGCAAATAGGTTTGGGCAGGATGTTCTAAGCCAGCGGTTTTCAGGGTCCGAGTTGTGACCCAGTACTGGGTCGTGGAATGTAAGGCATTGGGGTTACCTTGTTCAGCTTCCCAGAGTCTCGGGTGGCTCTGGTCAGCACTGACATCTGAGCCATTAAAAGTCCCGTCAGTGGTGCTGCCTAAGGCTGGGTAATGACCTGCTCTTGGAAAATCACTGGGCAAGCCCCAGTATGTTCTGACAAGACACTGCACCCCAGAAGTGACCAGCAGCAGATACAGCTCCTAGATAGGAGGGTCACTGGGCTCTGCTCGCTGCCCTTATCCCAGTCTCCAGCTCCGTACTTCCATTGGACAGGAACTGATGAATGGGAGCTGGGGTAGTGGTGCCTGTGGGCAATAGCTACATGAAGCTGCTTGCACACCTCCACCTATGAGTAAGACCTGCTGTTGGCTCCTTCTGGGGTGGAGCATTATCTGGGATTCCAGTAAAGGCAGGAAGCCTGCATTAGTCCCCTGCTGTGCCACTGACCGGGAGCCCCTTGAGGTAATCTCATGACCTAATCCCGAGCCCCAGCCCTGAGTCACCTGGAAGCTCAGAGCTCTTCTCCTTCACTCCAAATCCTTAATCCCTGACCCCAGCCCAGAGCCCTGATCCCTCCCACACCTCAACCCCATGATTTAGCCCAGAGCCCCCTTTCACATCCTGAGCCCCTCATTCCCAGCTCCATTCTGCATCCCTCTTCCCTAAAACCTCAACCTTCTTCCTCCAGGTCCCACATGCCAAACTCCATACCCAGCTCCATTGGGTCATGGGTATCAATAATTTTCTTCAACTGGGTCACCAGAAAAAAAGTTTATCAACTACTATTCTAAGCAGAATGGTCAGCATTAAAGTGGTATATGAGAGTAGAGTAGAGCCATTGAAATGAATGGTTCTGTTTATTTCCTTGCCTATAGTTCTATGCATTGTTTTAAGCACGTTTGCAAGGTAAGGACCTTGAGACTGTTAATTTTAATTAAACAAATGTAATACTTTCAGATTTTTCTTTTCTTTTTGGGTTTCAGTGTAGAATTTCACTTCTCATATGTATGGTGACCTGATATTTTGATTTGCTAGAATCAGTTCTTAGTTAATAAGAGTGCCTTTCTCTTGTCAGATGGTTGAAAATCAGGCTCCAAGTGGATTGCTGGTTGGTTGGATTCCCTTACCCTTCACTTGCTGTTTCCACCCTCTCCAGTATCCCTTTTCTTATAATAGTTATCACAGCAGCTTTTGTTCTTAGGTGCATACTCACCCCTCTTTTCCTGACCTATATTGAATTATTCATATATTTAAAGTGGGAATGAGTGGGAAGTTCCAAACTTTAATGCAACATCATCTGGTGAGTTCTGGTGTTTGGAAGTTTCCAGGTATGTTGAAAGCATAAGGATAGATTGTACAGTCAACAATCCACTATACCTGTTGCTTCCTATGATTAAGCTCACATTGCATCCAGATCGTGCAGATGCTAAAATTTCTAATTATCTTCCATTATATCCAACTACCAAATGCAGTCCTCTATTAAGATCTAATCAAAGGATTGTAAATGTTGACAGTTTAAGAAAATCTTGATAGTAATTCTTGTTTAATTTACTTTTTATCAATATCTCCCTCTAGTGATTTCCTGATGCTGTTTTATTTAAAATCTCTAACAGAAATCCCTGACATGCCCACTAAATTGAGTTGTTTAGTTCAGTACAGAGCTAATGTTGAGCTAAATAAATGGTTCCTCAATGCAAAATTTCTCCATTTCTCAAATGGCAAATTGCTGAGCTATTATCTGTGGTTTGTAACCTATCCTTTAAATCGGCTTCCGTACCTAATGACTGGAAGGTAGCCAATGTGACACCAATATTTAAAAAGGGCTCTAGAGGCGATCCTGGCAATTACAGAACGGTAAATCTAACTTCAATACCGGGCAAATTAGTCAAAACAATAGTAAAGAATAAAATTGTGAAGCATGTAGAAGAACATAATTTGTTGGACAAAAGTCAACATGGTTTCTGTAAAGAGAAATCCTGTTTTACTAATCTATTAGAATTCTTTGAAGGGGTTAACAAGCATGCGGATAAGGGGGATCCAGTAGATACAGTATACTTGGATTTTCAGAAAGCCTTTGACAAGGTCCCTCACCAAAGGCTCTTGTGTAAATTACATGGCCATGGGATAAGAGGGAAGGTCCTTTCTTGGATTGAGAACTGGTTAAAAGACAGGAAACAAAGGGTAGGAATAAATGGTAAATTTTCAGATTGGAGAGGGGTAACTAGTGGTGTACCCCAAGGGTCAGTCCTGGGACCAATCCTTTTCAACTTATTCATAAATGATCTGGAGAAAGGGGTAAGCAGTGAGGTAGTAAAGTTTGCAGATGATACCAAACTGTTTAGGATAGTCAAGACAGAAGCAGACTGTGAGGGACTCCAAGAAGATCTCACCAAACTGAGTGACTGGGCAACAAAATGGCAAATGAAATTTAATGTGGATAAATGCAAAGTAATGCACATCGGGAAAAATAACCCCAACTATACGTACAGTATGATGGGGGCTAATTTGGCTACAACAAATCAGAAAAGGGATCTTGGAGTTATCGTGGACAGTTCTCTGAAAACTTCCACACAGAGTGCAGCGGAGGTCAAAAAGGCAAATAAGATGCTAGGAATTATTAGGAAAGGGATAGAAAATAAGACCCAGAATATCTTACTGCCCCTGTATAAAACTATGGTACGCCCACATCTTGAATACTGTGTACAGATGTGGTCTCCTCACCTCAAAAAAGATATTTTGGCCTTGGAAAGGGTTCAGAAAAGGGCAACTAAAATGATTAGGGGTTTGGAACGGGTCCCATATGAGGAGAGGTTAAAGCGACTGGGACTTTTCAGTTTAGAAAAGAGGAGACTGAGGGGGGATATGATAGAGGTCTATAAAATCATGAGTGGTGTGGAGAGGGCTGATAAAGAAAAGTTATTTATTAGTTCCCATAATAGAAGAACTAGAGGACACCAAATGAAATTAATGGGTAGCAGGTTTAAAACTAATAAAAGAAAGTTCTTCTTCACACAGCGTGTAGTCAACCTGTGGAACTCCTTGCCAGAGGAGGCTGTGAAGGCTAGGACTATAATAGAGTTTAAAGAGAAGCTAGATAATTTCATGGAGGTTAGGTCCATAAAAGGCTATTAGCCAGGGGATAAAATGGTGTCCTTGGCCTCTGTTTGTCAGAGGCTGGAGAGGGATGGCAGGAGACAAATCGCTTGATCACTGTCTTCGGTCAACCCTCTCTGGGGTACCTGGTGCTGGCCACTGTCGGTAGACAGGATAATGGGCTAGATGGACCTTTGGTCTGACCCAGTACGGGATTCTAGAAGAATGACTTCTATCTGTTTTGGAACTGAGAAAAATTCTATTATCTCCACAAATAATGAGTTGTATTGTTTTTAAGATAGCTTGATCATTAGAGACTTGAGCATATACTCATCAAACTCAGTGGCAAAACTCCCGTTGACTTAAAGGTTGCAGTCCAGGCTCAGATATTAAATTGCACTCTATTTTAAGGTGGCATATTAAAAGGATTCCCAAATTAGGCCTAAATAGGCAATTTTAGTATGGACAATGAAATATGGCTTTATTTTACAGACCTATTGTGTTCATGTAATTTTAGATTTGGGATCCGGTACAGATATCCTTTGCCACATGATGCCTTTCTATAGCTATGATGTTCCTCATACTTGTGGTCCAGATCCTAAAATATGTTGCCAGTTTGATTTTAAGCGTCTTCCTGGAGGAAGAATAAGTTGTCCCTGGAGAGTTCCGCCTGAGGCCATTCATGCTGGGAATATTCAGCACAGGTACAGTACTGAAAGTATTGCAGAATTCTATAACTTGTAAAGGTTTTTTTTACTTGTTGAAGGCAATGTTTGTTAGGGATGTTACCGTGTGGTCATTTACACAATTAACTGATAAGACTGATAAGCCTGAGTTTCAGTTAATCCTAATGACTACATGGAGTTCCGCCTGAGGCCATTCATGCTGGGAATATTCAGCACAGGTACAGTACTGAAAGTATTGCAGAATTCTATAACTTGTAAAGGTTTTTTTTACTTGTTGAAGGCAATGTTTGTTAGGGATGTTACCGTGTGGTCATTTACACAATTAACTGATAAGACTGATAAGCCTGAGTTTCAGTTAATCCTAATGACTACATGTACACCGCAGTGTAGCGGGAGAAGCAAACGAAAGACGGCACACAGGAGAAGCTGCCTGTGAAGACAGCTCCCTGCATGTATCAGCTCCTGCCATGTATCTGTCCTCCCTCACTATGCTGCTGCTTCTCTATCAGGGGCAGCAGCGCACAGGGGTGGGGGATAGTGGGAGCCAGTACATGTGGGAAGCTGCCTCTTCATCAGAGGAAGTGAGGAGATGGGGGCAGGTGAGAGCTGGTGATTGTGGGCAGCGGGCTTAAAAGCCCCCCATCCCCGCTTGTAAACGTGTAACTGCTAAAAATAAAATCACCATTTACACCTGTACATGTTAGTCCACATTCCTAATATGGATTAACATCACAACTTCCTTGTTTTTAAAAAAAAGAGGTTTGCAATAGGAGAAATAATTTATATTGCATGTGCCCTGCTAGTACAATTAATGAAAGTAGTAATTGTAAGAAAAACTAAAATTAGTACACTTGAGCTAATGTGTTAATTCTGCAGTTCCAGTTAAACACTTCTACAACGTTTAAGTGAGTTAAATTCTGTGAATACCAGGAAGAGGTATAATCAGTTTGCTTGTCGGAATATGCATGTCGGAGTATGGAGTAGGCATATCTCTGTTGTTCCAAATTCTTTACCTGCAGGCAAAGGGATGACATCAGGGTTTCTCTGGTTATGTCTACACTCCCGCAAAAGATCAGTGACACGGAGTCTCAGAACATGAATAAATTGACTCAGGCATGTGAGGTTAAATCAACAGAGTAGCCATTCAGTCTTAGAAACTCAGTGAGAGAAGAAGGTCTTGTAGTTGAATTGGAGTCCATGTACAAATATCTACTCAGCTACTTTCAGCCATGCAAGCCTAAGTTAAGTGACCCAGGCTCTCAGATGCAGTGCTGTGGGTTTTTCTTTTGCAGTATAGTCTGTATGTTCTCATTACTCTTTCTTAGAGAGTATCTTCTTATACAAAGCCCACATCTAATTAATTTAAAACAAAACTAAATATTCACATTAAAGAAAAAAAGTGTTTAAAATATAAGATGAAAAATTGAGTGTTTTATAAAACAAGAGATTGGGAAAAATAAAGTTCAGTTTAGGCAAATGTAACAGATACCAACACTTGAATTTATAGAAGTGCACATTTGGTACTGTGCAACTATGGAAGAAGGGTAAGAGGCAGAGGGTTTCAGAGTTGGGGTGGAGGTCTGGTTCCATTGTGTAGATATTTCTAGTGTCCAGCAGATCTGAGATTTGGTGGATTTTGGCCTGCTTATTCTTAAGGGTATGGGTTTTCAATCCTCCCTATGCTATAGTAAGGTGCTGACACGCTAGGCAACTGATCTCAAATTTCTTTTTCAGGGAAGACAGTAAAAAAGCAGTACCAAGGGAAAATGTTTTTTCTGTATCTCACAAATTATCACAAATATGGACAAACTGTTGTCTTGCTTCAGACTGAACACGTAAAATTTTGAGCAAAAAAGGAGCTGCTTTGGGAATCTCTTCTCTATACTGTTGGTTGCTAAAGTATGAGAGGGGTATACCACCTATTTCAATGAAGGGAGGACCTTCAGCACCGTTGATTCATAATACTCTGTCAGATCTCACAAGAGGTGTTGGTTCAGGCAAAGCAATCTATAAAATGGGCTACAAACAAGATAATTTTGATGATACTAGATGGGTTATGTTGACCTCAGCAGACCATGTAACTCAGTGACTGCAGTTCATTCATCATGATTTAAAACTACTTATTAATTCTCAGAATCAATTAATTCTCAGAATTAACTCTCAGAAAATGTGTTCATACTAACAGCAGTTTAATATAGCTAAAAAGAATAAACAACTTATTAAAGTTTTTATAGATTTCATTTATATTGGAAAAATATATCTAAGTCCCGACAAAACTTTAATGTACAATGTTAAAACCTTCCCCTTGAATCTTAAGCAATAACAGGTTGGAAACCATTCTAAATGTGCACATGAGAACATCATGAGATATATTTATTGTATTTTAAAAAATCTTTTAACACTTTTTCTAAAGTCTTTGACTACCATTAACATGTAAGTAACGCTATTGCAGTATTGACAGTATTTCTTGTATTAAATGTACCTAAATAACTTTAATGCAACAAATAGCAAGTAATTAAATTACTTTAATGGAAACCATGGTTATTTAGAGAAGCTTTTCAAAATTTTATGAACACTTTCATTAGCTCAGGTGCTCATTTATTTACTCATAATTTAATGTGATGCTATTACAGAGGAGAAAACCAACCTTTCCACTCGCCTCCAAGTAAGTGGACAAGTTGTACTTTGCCAGGGTAGGTTCCGGTATTGTAAAGAACATGTTTTAGGCATTTATTATTCTGTCAGCTGATTACTTTTCTGTATTCTAATCTGTATGCTTTTCCTTTTTTCTTCAAAGGGCTTGGATGATTTTAGATCAATACAGAAAGAAGTCAAAGCTTTTCCGTACTAAAGTTCTGTTGGCGCCACTAGGGGATGATTTCCGTTACAGTGAGAGCTCAGAATGGGATCAGCAATACCAGAATTATCAAAAGCTTTTTGATTATATGAACTCTCATCCTGAGTTACATGTTAAGGTGAACTGCATATTTATTTGTTCAAATAGTTCTAGTTCTTCACTAACATCAATGAACCCTAACTCCAAATTTTTGCATACTCCTGTTTAATTTAACACCTTCTAATACTCTGAGACTTTATATTAATTTGTTGTACATCAAAGAGGAAGATAGCTTAATACTACTATAGTTTAACTAAAGCTCTTGGTGAATTAGGAAAGTACTACTGATTAGATTTTATGGTTAAGCTTGGCAAGATTTGATTTTAATTGATAATTGTCAGTAAGTGGCAAAAATAATCAATAATGGTCAGCCATCATGCATGGATTATCACTGGTCTTTGCAGCCATATAGAGAGCCTTCTGCATC